ACAAAAATTGCACACCTTTGGATGAGGACAGTGTGGAGGAGTAAGGGCAGAGGGTGGGGTGGGAACTGGGTGGAGGGGAGCTATGGGGGTGAAAAAGGAACAACTGTAATAATCTGAACAATAAAGATTTATTTAAAAAAAAAAAAGAAAAACCTACTGATATAATAATGACTTGGATAACTCAGAGTATTATGCTCAGTAAAAAAAGCCAATCCCAAAAGATTACATATTTACATAACATTCTTGAAATGAAAATGTATAGCAATGGAGCCCAAGAAAAACAAAATTGGAGGAATCACAATACTAGATTTCAAGTTTTACTGCAAAGCCCACAATTCAAGCATGTGCCCTGACCGGGAACTGAACTGTGACCTCCTGATTCATAGGTCAATGCTCAACCACTGACCCACACTGGCAGGGCTCAAAGTAATTTTTAATTAAAAAAAGGATGGAAAACAAAGAAGTTAACCTTAACAAGGAGAAGATGCTTTTGGGGGGTAAAAGGGGACAAAAAGAAGAGAGAATGGATTGACAGAGGCAGAGTATCCAAAAGGCAGAAGATCTTCTCTCTCAGCTCAAGTTCAGTGCTAACTGGGTTGGGAGAAATAAGAGTTTTCAAAGAGAAGTTCAGATGGCAGAATTGGAAGCTTTAAAAGAATCAAGAAAACTTGGAATATTAAAGTCTGCAGCAATCGTGATTAATAATTAAAAATAAAACAGCATTCCCTACTAGTCTTCCTGCACCTAAAGCACTATTCTTCACTTGCTAATTCATTACATGGGTGTTGATTCTGTTTTATCTATAAAGCTGCAAAGCTTTCACTAAAACATTATTTTTCTAAAGAATTCTATCACCACTATTTGCATGTCCTATGAAATTCTGCATAATGGAACTTCACTTGTAGAATTATAATCCTATCTAATAAAAGAGAAACATGGTAATTAGCCATACCTCCGTTACCCTTCCCATTGGCTAATCAGGGTGATATGCAAATTAACTGCCAGCCAAGATGGCGACCAGCAGCCAGGCAGGTTGAAGCAAACATGAGGCTTGCTTGCTTCAGTGACGGAGGACTCCAACGTT